TATGCGGTATTCAATAAAGGGCCGGGCCATGGACTTTTTCCAAGGTCCGAACCAAAAAGGATGTTTATTTACGTGAATATTATCATTGCTATTTTGTGTAATTATTTTTTTAAGTGATCGAATTGTGTAAATTTTTTTTACAGATCGGAACATTGAGACATGTAGAGTGGAGACGAGGACTTTTTTGAAGGGAATCGATGTGAATCGGCTGCCGGCTATGGGTGACGCCGACGAAGAAGCCGGCGTTTCGTCGCCGAACAGTACGATTTCGAGTGTGAGTGGAAATAAGAGAACTGAAAGAGAAGCTAATAATTGTGATCAAGAGGAACATGAAATGGAAAGAGGTTCTGATGAAGAAGATGGAGAAACTTCTAGAAAGAAATTAAGGCTATCAAAAGACCAATCTGCCATTCTTGAAGAAAGTTTCAAAGAACACAATACACTCAATCCTGTAAGTTTTGAAAAAAATTTCTTGTTTTTTTTTTAGGGGTATTTTGGTCATTTTATGTTTTTGCTTACAGATTTGTTTTTTTTTATGTGTAGAAACAAAAGCTGGCTTTGGCCAAAAGACTGGGATTGAGGCCTAGGCAAGTGGAGGTGTGGTTTCAGAATAGGAGGGCAAGGTGAGACATTTTTGTTATTTTGTGTACTTTTCGAGGGTATTTATGGTATTTTAATTCACTACTGTAATTATGATAAAAATAATGATTATCATGATTATTGAAAATGATAGGAGTGATAAAAATAATAATGACTTAAAGATTAAAACAGCATGTCTCATGTGAGTGTATGAGACTAAATCATATGCTATTTTGGTCTTTAGTTAGGCATATAGGAACCCCACAATGATAAATTGTCTCCTCATCATACTTTTTTGATTGGCTCCATTCTATTGGTCCATCACAATCATTTAGGGGACATTTATTACGCGGGATGAGATGAGATATTCTCGGAGGATAAAACTCTATACTGTCAATCAAACATATACTTGGATCTTGAATATTCAACTTTATTCCACAGGAATTATAATCTCAAATAATTTAATTTGCAGAACAAACGATCCTTAATATTATTTCTAGAAGTGATCAATAGTAAATTAAGTTGTTGGAGTCATATATATCTAGATCCATTCGAAATTTAGCATTTAACAAAGAATTTTTATACTATCAGATCAGTAAAATAATTATTCATGTTAAGTGAAACAAATTATTACTTCAAATTTAACCACTTTTATGTACACTATCATCTCAATCAATGATAGTACTATAAAAGTAACCCTCTATATTAAGAGGACATGTAAAAGCTCCATACATTGCATATAACTTAAATTCATTTGAAAGTAGTTCCTTTTTCTGCTATGTTGCTTGAATTATCTTACACAAGTACGATAACATTTTTAGATAGTTGAAACTATGTAATTTTTCGTTCTTTTTCTTATGGAGATTTGATTTTTGTAAACAGGACAAAGTTGAAGCAAACAGAAGTTGACTGTGAGTTCTTGAAGAGATGTTGTGAGAATTTGACAGAGGAAAACAGGAGATTACAGAAAGAAGTTCAAGAGTTGAGGGCATTAAAGCTTTCACCTCAATTCTACATGCAAATGACCCCTCCCACCACCCTCACCATGTGCCCTTCATGTGAGCGTGTTGCGGGCCCACCGTCATCCTCATCTGGGCCCACATCCACACCAATGGGCCAGGCCCAACCCAGGCCCATGCCATTTAACCTATGGGCCAATGCACTACATCCTAGATCATGATTTTGCAAGAAGGGCAATTTGGTCAAATGAAAGTGACAAGCAAACTTGTAATCGAGTACCATAATGTTTTGTGTATGAAAATATTAATTTTTATGGTCTAAGATATGGTTGTTGGGACTTGAGAATGGGGGATTTGGTGGGTCAAAGAATCTTTGATTTCTATTATTGACTATATCTTTTTCTTGTATTTACAAATTAGGCTTATTAGTCTTTTTTACTATATTTGGTAGTAAGTACTAATAGTTTACTTTTTCCCCATTTTGAGGTTATTGGTAGGGTAAGAGGAAGAGGACTTTTTAGATGTAAAGTTATGAAGGATATCAACTATTATGGTTATAGATTTACTTGGAGAAGTTTTTAAGTTTGTCTTTTGATCATATTTTTGTATTTTTAACTTTTTGCTAATTGCTTGTCATAATGTCATATCAAATAACTTTCCTTAGTGGCTAAGTTACAAAGCAAAGAGACAGTATGTTAACAACAACAAATTACTCGGATAGTTTTATAAGTGAAGTCTGAACAATATAACATGTACATAAATTTTATTTATGTGAGATTGAAGTTATTTTCGATAGACCTTCTACTCAAAATATAAGTAAGATTTGAACGCATAAAATCAAAATAAAGAGACAATGTCCTAGGAACAATATTTTTTGGTTTGGTTAATCAAGTTCAGGGTATTGTGGGTAATTTGATTCATGCTTTGTGAAGTTGTTTCCTGTTCCTTTGTCATTGTCTAGTCATTAGGAATATAAAATAGTGTCTAATTATTGATTTAAATGCTCATGATTGCTTGAATAGTTTAAGTATTTTAAGTCACAATAGTGTATTCTTATGATATCTTATATGAGTAGGAAATTAATACTAATAAGGGATAAGAGTCTGAAAAATATCCCAACTTTGATCGAATTTGTTGTTGCGTTACTAAACTTTCATGAGGACCTATTACCTTCCTAAACTATTTAATACCGTATTTTAAACATATATTTTTGCCCACGTGGACATAAAAATAATGCAAAATTATAAATAGTAATGTGTCCACGTGGGCACATATATACCTTTAAAATACACTATTAAATAGTTCAGGGGGTAAAAAATACGGTATTAAATAGTTTAGGGAGGTAATAGGTCCTTATGAAAGTTTAGTATCGCAACAACAAATTCGACCAAAGTTGAGGTATTTTTCAGACCCTTATCCCTAATAATAACTTAGAACTATGAAAGAAAGTAATAAGTATTATTTCATTTTTCGATACGATTTAGATTAATCGATTTTTAAAGCAAACATAATAATGAAAATAAAACTGTAAAATTGGAGTGTGATGATCACATGACAAGTCATCATAGCGTAATCAATACATAAGGTAATTGTCGTTCAATTATTAGAGAGCAAATTTGCAATTATAGTCCACAAAAAAGGCCCAAGACGTTAGTTTGCATAGATAGCCAATTTGGCTGGAAGTTATTTAACATGTAGCCATAATTCATAACTATTTAAAGCTTTAATCGCTTCAGACCTATGAGACTGAAGTTGAAAAAATCTTTCATCTGCAGTTATAAAATTTAGACGTGCAGATATGAAGTTAGAATATTACTTCATATACACATTTTTGTGTGAAGTTTGGCTATTTAATTGATTTTATTTATAATATCTCAATTTAATTTATTCTAAAATAATATAGTTTCTTCGTTCTTATTTATATGCCGTTCTTATATTAAAAATAAATACTTCTTTATACTTGTCATTTCCTAAAGTTAATATATAAATGACATTATTCTTCCTATTTTACCCTTGAGAATTATTAGCCTTTGAAAGTATGAATTTGATCAACATAGGAAAACTAAATGATTAATTCATATTCACGGGTCAATTTAATTGATCAAAGTAAATTAACTTATGTTCATTTATTGAAAACTTGACTTCAAGAGAACAGTAAATAAAGATACAATGAAAACTTACCTAATTTCTTAGGGTGAGGAGTGGGGGGTTGGGGTGGCAATCGATAGATCCAATCAATCTGGCGATGAAGAGAATTTTTTGATGTTGAAAGATATCGTGATGACAAGTATTCAATTTGTTCAGTAAACTACTCGGGGGCATTTACATAAACTCCAAAACTGTACTTAAGAATTTTACATCAGAAAACTCCAAGCTTACTGAAGAAGGAACAGAATAGAGAAAACTTGTTTTGGTAGAAACTATATTTTAAAACATTTTTAATTAACCAAATAAAAAGACTTCCTTTTTTTCTTGCATCCATGATGTACTAATCTTATTCCCCTGCAGATTTCCATACCGGCTGATCTTCCACTCTTCCAACATCCCGAATCGAGGTGGTTTTAAACTCGGGTTTATTTAACCCCTTCTTAAAAGCAGTTACCTTTTTTTGATCTTGAACTTATAATCTTACGATTGAAGGTGGAGAAAGGGTATTTAACACTTGAGCAAAGTTGCCTACCTCTTTAGTTAAAAAAAAAGAAGGAAAGGTGCTTCGAAGTCTTAATTCAAGCTACAAATATTGAGTTTATGTATTGATAACCTGTCCACCATTTTGTCCAAAACTCGTCTAAATTGCAACAACAATAACATATCCAGTGTAATCACACATAGTGTGGTCTGGAGAAAGTAGAATGTACATAGACATAGACAGTACCCCTACCTTGAGGATAGCTAGACCAATAGACCCTCATCTAAAATTGTGTCCTAAAATCCTCTGATAATAAAGTAGCAACTCGAAATGATGTTAGATTATGATAATGGGACACACTGGAGTTGTTGAGATTCCTGAGCCTAATATAAGCTACAGTATACTAAGTGCAAATCAAATTGATATACAAATCCAGATATCAGAGAATAGAGCATTAGTACTTCAACATAACTCTATAACATCAATTGCCCACTGGTTAAGGACAATTTTGAAGGATTATATTGACACTACAAGTACCATTGGTTATTATCTCTGTCTTCACTTAGGGTAAGACTGTATACACACCACTCGTCCCAGACCCCGTTTGTTGACTAATAGGTATATTGTTGTTGTTAAGAAAGCTGGGATAATCAAAAGATCTTCATTCCAGATATTGTCATGCAGTAACAATAATCATAAGAAGGGCCTCATGGTCAACAAATCAATTATAGTAGATGAGGCAGAGGTAATTAATTACATTAAAATTACAATATGCTAAAATCTCTGTATAATAACAGAAAACTCAGTAAGTATAAATAGTGAAACATAAAAGGTTATCTTACAAGGTTTCTTGTAGGTTGCCCTGCTGATCTTCTGATGGATTCAATTCTTTGAAGCCTAATTTGCTCCCTAAACTTTGCTATAAACTCATCAGCTTTCTTATCAACATCTGGTCCTTCATGATCACTCTGAGTTTCAATTTCTGGTTTTTCCGCGTTTTCTTCAAAGTAATCATAATCTTCACTATCAGTCTCTGAATCCTCTTGATCACTTTCCATAAGGAATTTCTCAACATATTCTTTCTTCTCTTCATTTGGGAATTCCATGAATCTTGATTTTGTTGAAAAGTTGTAACTTTCATGCATCATTTTATCAGTTGTTCCTATAACATTTTCTTCAGGACATGTGAATTCTTTTGTTCTTGTACTTCCAATGAATGGCCTCAATTCTGTTGTTGTTCCTGAATATGCTTTTCTTATTGTTTGGAGCTTTTCACCGCGTGTCAAATCCATTGGCACACTCCTTATGCTTCTCCTCAATTCCTTATCAGATGAAATTACATTGTCATTTGTAACACTAGAGGTTGATTTCATCTTATAGAAGAAATGTGGTGGTGGTGGAGGTGGTGGTGGAGGAGGATTCGATTTACGAAAACTTTTCTTTCTCACTACATCTTCATTAACAATCTTGGATTGTGATTCTGGTGAAAAGGACAATTTTCTTGATTGTGAAGGAGAAGGAGTTCTTGGTGAAGAGGAATTTGAGTTGTTATTACTATTCTTAGGTAATCTAAAAGATTGAGACCTTAAAGAAAAAGGTTCAATCTTTTTAACTAAATCACCATTTTCTTTCATCTCCATGTTTCTTGCTGATCTTGATCGCCATGGAATAGGCGATGGACGAACAACATTTTCCTCTAAACTCTCCACCAATTTCTTAGGACTTGACACAACAAAATCCCCATTTCTTGATTTTGAACTTAATCCATTACTTTCTTCCAAATGATCATCAAGAACACGCGATTTCAAGCTTCGAATAGGTAAAAGAAGAGGCTTTTCGCCAATTCTTGAATTAATAGCTCTCTGTTCATTAAGGCTATGATTTTCTATTACAACAGGATTGTTACCTCTATGGTACTGATTATTCCAAGTTTGAACCTTGTTTTCATCATGATTATCGGTATCATCATCGAAAACAGATGAGGCATGAAGTAATCCAGATACATAGGATTGAGCATTATCAAACTTTGTGTTATGTTCCTTATCTGTTTCATCACTTTTTTTGCTAAAAAGTCCATATGAAACAGCTATGCCAACAAATATAAGCTGAAGAACTTCCCAGCTTCTTGTTTGAAGAGTTTGGTTAATGAAATCAGGAGCTTCTGAGGTGAAAAGTGGAAGCACAACAAGAAAAATCACAATAAGTGAAGCTTTGAAGAGAAAATGGTTATAAAACTTAGTATGTTTTGCATGGTTTGGTGGAACTTCAGAGTCTTTTTTCTGTTTTTTGGAGGTGTTAGGAGATGTGTTGTCTCCCATTGAAGAAAAAAGAGGAAGTTTGGTTTGTTTTGGGATGTTGTTTTATGTTGCAAAATGTGAAAAGAAGATGAGATGATGGATGAGAGAAGTCTTAATGCTAAGGAAAAGTATAGAGAGAGTGATGAAGAAAGTTTTTGGAATGAGTGATTTGATTTCAAGCTATGCTTTAATTTCTTTATCTTTAAAAAGATTCTACTCTTATGACATTCTTGTCCTCCTATTTTCTCAATTCACCACTATGTGAAAATGGTGGGAAATACTCTTACTGTCGACCATCCAAACTCATGACAAGTATTGTCTGCTTTGGATTAACCAATATCACAAATTTATCCTTTGAGCTATGTCATCAATGAGCTAAAAAACGTATGTATGTATCATGTGAACTTGTGTTATGTCTTATAAAGTTCTTTACTTTTCTATTCTATTTTGATATGAGATTCACCTAAAATGTCATATGTATCATTTTTCTTCAGAAACTTGTTAGTTTTGCCTCGCTCTAATCGATTCAGCTCCGTTACCTACGCCACACATATTGAATATTTTTTCATAAAATACTCATTGTTGTTGATAAGTAATACTTAGTAGAATTTCTTTGAGGAGTCTTGGAGTGTAAATATTAAGCTTTTCATACTTTCCATTAAGAAATTTAACATAGCATATTTTGAGAATCAAAATTCTTGTATGTAAAGGACAAGAACTAGAGATTACCTCCTAAATATTGAAGTTTACACTATTAGAACATCTAAAAATATTTACATAAAATTATCCATAAAAATGAGATTAATAAATAAAGCATATTTTGTTATAATACGTTAATATATATTACTAAATTTTGCACTATTAACATATATAATCATTATTTTTTTAAAAAAAGTTTTTTATTTTGGGGGGGGGGGGGGGGGGGGGGGGGGGTTGAAGGGTATTTTGGGAATAGAGAAAAATGAGGGGACCAAGAGGTTGCGTGGGGAATGGTTAGGATTCTCTCTTTTGGAATGGGTACGCTAGCTTTGTGTGTGGGAATTGGGATATGATGAGTTCAACATCTTTGCCTTCTTTTTCCATACTTTAATTTGGAAGGCTATGCTTTTCTTTCTATATTGTCTGCCCTCCCCACTTTCATCCAAAATTTACTTTGTTTGGAGTTTATGCTCTATGCTTTTTAAGGACCACCAAGTGACAAAACTTGGAGTTTTGTTTTGACGGGATAGAGTTATCTGGTGCTTATTTTATTAAAAAAGTTACATGAGAAATAGTTAACACCGTGTTAATTGATCTGAACATCACTATTAGCTAAAAATAATAATAATTTGATCATATTTGGTATCATGGGTTTGGAGTCAATGTTTCTTATAGGATTTTGATATTAGTTAGGTATCATTACAGCAATAATCAATCGGATTCATTTTTTTTGTCGGTATATAAATTATACACTTGTTGTACATATATTATACATGTTATCCATTGTCTATTTTTAATTTAAGTGATTGGGGTGCTATTTAGAAATTCTTTCTTATTCCTTCTTCCTTTTTCATTCTTGATTATATTATTATTATTATTATTATTATTATATATGAGTGTAATATCAAGAGATTAGACAATACTCTAGAGGTTTAATACATGATGTCCATTTCTTAATGTGAATGCAAGGTATTTTTGTTTTCTTAATAATTGTTGTATCCCTGCTATCTTATTATTCTTTTGTAAAAATCTTTAACATTTTGATGCAATACCAATTCATCAATCTACAACTTGATATATGATTCTAGATAAAGTTCCAAGATTCCTTTGGACGTTTAACGACAATAAATTTCCTTTTAGCAATAATATATGTTATTATATCCAGAGTCGCTAAAAGTATTGATTGTAAATATACATATTTATTATTGTCGCTAAATATATATGGGACCTCCCGTGTGAGGTCAGGTGATGGTCAACAACTCAGGCAGGTCCTCTGCTAGAGTCAGAGTTGTTGTGTAGCCAGGTTCACCTGCCCAATGCCCTTCCAATCCAAGCCGGCAAAGCCGCCCCTATATCTAACCACCGCTGCTTTATCCGCCGTCTCTGCGGCCGCCAAAAGCCTACCCTCTCTCGGATATTGAGTGGGTTGACCGGGGAAGAGATCACCACCCCGAAGCATATAGATCCACCCGATCGATGAACACTCAAACCGAACTCACCCATCCTTTTGGAGGGATGCGAGAACCAATCCGAGTAATCAACCGCTTTTTTTTTTAATCTACCTCAAGCACCCCAACAACAACAATTATATTTTTATCAATAAATAACCGTCCCAAATAGTGGCATTTTTGTTTGTATTTTCTAGAGCATATATGATTCTTTTTTAGTGTTCCAACTTTCAACATATGAATAAATAAAAATTAAGCTAAGATTTGGTGGTGAGGAATAAGTTGAATAATGGTCTTATTTGCGTGTTACCTCAGTGGACATATATACTTTCCACACAAGCTCATCCATTTTCATGATAATTCTAAGTAAAAGAAAAGTATGTATAGCCTTGCCACAATTAGTTTTGTCTCCTTTTACCAATGACTTTAGTAACATCTAGATAAGCGGATTGAATATGCAAATTTTGGTTTAATAGATTTTATGATTTCGAATTAGAAGTTATAAAGTATCTCAATTTATAAACCCCCATTTACATTACAATCATTCAAATAAAATATTTATACAAGCAATGAATGTATATTTGGTACGAAGGAAAATGTTTTAATCCGAATTACTATTATATATGCCTTTCTTCAAGTTGTCATCAATTCTGTAATTAAGAATCTTAAGAAAGGGTTAGTTTGATTCTTCAGAGGGTAATTAGGAGAAATCAAAAGTTAATGGGAGATTATCTCTTTGGTTAAAGGTAAAAGAATTCAAAAGATATGTGTCATTGACAACATGCTAACGTATCAGATTCTATCTTAATCAAACCTCCTTTTCAACTTTGAAATGTACAACAACTCTCTTTACAAATCCTCATTGTGTGTGTATTGTCCCCACTTTTTTTTTTCTTTTTAAAATAAATAATCTTTTCCCTTCTGTCTTTCGGTATTATACTCCCTCCGTTTCAAACTGTCTCTTTCATTTTAATTTTTCACGTGAAGTATCTAAGATCACAACATTAAAGGACATTTTAGTACATTTTACATATTTTTAGATTAAGATTAAAAAATTCAAAAGTCTTCTTTATTTTCTTAAACTCCGTATCAAGTCAAAATCAGAAAATAAAAATAAAAATTGAGATGAAGGAAGTAATGTTTATGCAAGCAAGTCCTTTTGCTGAAGACCTTAAGATAATTAATGATAACACAAGGCTAATACTAAAATGCAGTTGATGATAAATCTACATTGATTTTGGAAAATTCGATGATATATAATAAACACACGTACCAAAGTGTTCGAACATGAGAATAGAAAAAGTCATAATAAGGAGCGCTTCCTTTTTTAATGAGTTGTATCTGACTTGAATTTGATATTCCAATGAATAAAGAGTTCATTTCTTATTACGAATGAGCTTGTCACAACCCCTAAACAAATCACCAAGATTTCACAAATTATGTCCTAATTTTGGAACAAATGTTCATAATTCTTGGCGGATCACTAGGACTTGCACAAAAAATTCACTCGCAATTTTTTTGCATAAAAATTATTCCAAAATGATAATCAATTTTAAGCGAAAATTGTGCAGAATAGTAAACATTTAAACCATATTAAATGTTATAGCTATCGTTTAAGAAAATTCTAATTCGTAGCTATGGTTTCTTCCAATCTTGTTATTATCCCGATTTGTATAATTCACCTGATTTGTATAAATCTAGAATTTGTATAATTCGATTCCTGATTGTATAAATCCAAAATTTTGTATATGCTTACCCTAACTATTTTGTATATGCTTACCCTATTTGTATATTGACAAGCGAAATATACAAACAGAGTTCCTAAAAATTCCTAAATATATATATACATAATTTGTATATACTTATCCTATTTGTATATTCGCAAGCGAAATATACAAACGGGCAGAAATATACAACCACAACTTCCATAGCAAACAAAATTATAAACTATGGAATGCAATTATCAAAACTATAGCTATAGATCCTTATTATGTCTATTATGTTTGCTATTTCTGAAATTTTTCTTTTTTTCTATTACCAATTACAAACAATTTCGAATGATCAGGTTCGATCCATTAGGCCCTGTTGTACTCACAAGCCCAAATTTCGTCTAGCTGAAATGGAATATTTGGGCCCAAATCTGGCCCATATTATTTTCCTCGGCCGGTCCATTAAGCTAATTTACGCCTCTCCAATCTCTTCCCAAGTGCGGCAGTTTCCGGCGTCTTTCCCATCGGTGCCTCTTTCGCCGGCGAAAAAAACAAGTTACAGGTTCCCGTCTTCATTTCTCTTGCTCTATTATTCCATATCTTTCAATTTTCTCGCAATTCAAAATACAGCATATCTAGAATTCATTTTCTTATGAGAAAATTATGTTTCTTCCATCAATTTCTCGCCTATTCGCCGATTCTAAATCAGTCAATAAACCAATTTTTTCACTCAAATTGGTACATTTACTCAGCACTTCTTCATCATCAGCTGGAGAATTTTTAAGTCATTTGCTGAATAATAAAAATGTGTCGGGTATGGAGAGAACATTGAGCTCAGTTAGGTCTAAGCTAGATGCTCGATGTGTTGATGAAATATTAGAGAAGTGCGCTGTTGATGATCCCCAAATGTGTCTGAGATTCTTCATTTGGGCTGGTCTTCAATCCAGCTATAGACATAGTAGTTACATGTACAGTAGAGCTTACAAACTGCTTGGAGTGGATAGTAAACCGCAAATTATTCGAGATGCCATTGAGGCTTATAGGCTGCAGAAATATGTCACAAGTGCTAAGATGTTTAAAGTTGTGTTGAATTTGTGTAGAGAGGGAAAAGATGCTACCTTGGGATTGTGGGTGTTGAGGAAAATGAAAGAGTCTAATTGTCGCCCGGATACGATTATGTATAATGTAGTTATTCGATTATTATGTGAGAAGGGAGATATGGATGAGGCAATGGGTTTGATGAGAGAAATGGACCTGATTGATGTTCATCCTGATATGATCACCTATGTCGTGATGATTAAGGGGTTGTCTGAGGTGGGTAGGTTGGAAGAAGCTTGTGGATTAACAAAAGCTATGAGGGGACATGGATGTATACCAAATACGGTTACCTATTCAGCTCTTCTTGATGGGATTTGTAGGTTTGGGAGTTTGGAAAGGGCACTTGAGTTATTGAGAGAAATGGAAAAAGACGGTGGGCAGTGTAAACCTAACGTCGTTTCATATACTACTGTGGTTCAAAATTTTGTTGAAAAATGTCAGGCGATTGAGGCACTAAGTATTTTGGACCAAATGAGGGATTTTGGGTGTAAACCAAATAGGGTACTTATCTCTACTTTGATTCATGGTCTTTGCAAAGAGGGGCATGTGGAGGAGGCTCATAAGGTCATTGACAGAGTAGCTAAAAGTGGTATTTCATATGATTCTTGCTATAGCTCTTTAGTTTTATCGTTATTTCGGATTGGAAAAGTCGAGCAGGCAGAAATGTTTTTTAGGAGAATGTTGACTGGTGGCCTAAAGCCTGATAGCTTCACCTCAAGCACAATAATACGATGGCTTTGTCAGCAAAATCGGATACTTGATGGATATTGCTTGATTGAGCAGTCTGCAAGTGTATCTTCTATAGATTCTGATATTTATTCTATTCTTATGGCTGGACTATGTGAGGCAAATCACCTTGTGGAAGCTGCTAAGCTTGCTCATCTGATGGTAGATAAAAGAATTCAGTTCAAAGGTCCTTGTGTTAAAAATGTAATTGAATGTCTTAGACGTTGTGGGAAAGAGGATTTAGCTTCAAGCATTGGTAACGTTAAGAGCTGATGAATATTACAATTGCATTAATATGTTGATCCTACTTGTGCACCAAACAGTCCCCTCGTCAGTTATGTGGAATATTCCACATAATTGAATTCTTCTTCAGTTTTGTGCAATCAAATAAATGTTGGTGCTATGTGCACAAAACTTGGTCATCCTTCGTATTCAGTTAGTTGTTGAGGCTATGCATGAGCGGGTTTAGTGCTTGTTCTTCTCTTATATTCCCCTATATTATCCCCACGCTGCTCAATTGCCTCCTTTGGTGCTTTCTATCGAGCCGTACATACAGAGTTAAACTTTTCCCAACTATTCATTTTACTGGCACTTTGAACTCTGTGCTTCGGAAGTGGAAGTCTAAAAAGTTTACGAAAAACCAATGATCTTACACCAGAATCACTCTGTGTTGCTGCAGGGGAATGAATGTCAAGAGGAAGAGTTCTTGAATCTGATAAAGAAAGAAGGAAAAGAGGGAAATGGGATATCAATAATTAAGGGAAAAATATCTCTCTGTGTACACTTTATTCGTTTATCCCATGTTACTGCTTGAACAATCAGTAGTTGACTCTTATGTAATATGAGCTCTGGGTAAGTATTGTCTCTCACTTAGAAAATTTGATGACATTCAAGCATGAATGTTCTCATTTGCAATAATCAGATGTGCTGCTGGCTATTACCGATAATTTTCCTCATTATGTTTGTGTATGATTTCACTCTTCTTACCTGATAATAGTGTGAACAGAATTTGCTGCTTCGTTTTTCAGATATAATTCTATTACCTGTCACTTGTTGATCTTTTTGAGATTTCCTGCTCCAAGTATTGTTTGCATCTCTGCATCTATTGATAAAACAAGAACTTTAGTCTAGGCTTCAGGATCTGAACTATGGATATTGGATGTTTTCTCATTTCAAATAGAAATTTATTCTTCTATTTGTTGACATTAGTTCATTGAAACTCTCTTTGATGCCAATATGTAGCAGGAAAACCATCGGAGAAAGGCTTCTTCAGCAACAGTTTTGCACACTAAACCAACTAATGGTTTAGTACATTGCTTCATCTGCATCCTAACTCGAATGCCTCTCATGTATGTTATCGATTTTTGAAACTTGTGTTTTGTCATGCTTTGAGATTGTCGATTGTGAAGACCACTCTATTTCTACTGTAAAATGCACCTCCTAACTACCAGTAGTAAGTGGGCGTAGATTGATAGGCAGAGATAGTTTGTTTGGAGGAAGAAAATAAGGACCAAACATTATCTTGTAACTTGTAATTTCTGTATGAATGCAAACCTGTTTTTTCAATTTGTTATGGAAAATATATTAGTAACAAGGATGGCTGAGTTGGTGCAGTTCATATCTCATAAGGGAAGTCAGAGATTGATTTTTCGGCCTATGCCTTTTCAATCGAGTCATTGCAATTTGCTTGTTGTATAGGTAAAATGGGTCAAAAAATGTCGAGCGAACCCCATCCATGACCGGACCAAGGAGTGAAGCCCCAACTCATAAGAGTCCCAATATCCTTAGATTCTCAACGTCCGGTATGCGATCAAAGAGTTAGTGCTCTAGTGGAAGACTAGAAGAGATTCGAACCTTATAAAATGAGTTACCTAAGTTTATTCTCTATATTACCCCATTAGGCAATCAATGTTTGGGTCCACTAGTTTTTCGATTAAAACACTTGTTTATGCAACATTTCATTACTAAGATCAATCTAACGCACGTGTCCATAAATTACTTAACAAATTAAGTTATATCATTTTTTGAATAAACACTTACCGTTTACATATGTTATGCGGTTTTCAAATTATTGCACATAAATAAATGGATTTATTTAGTGCAAATATGTGTGCACACCTAAAAAGATAACAACCGAGGATTCCCAAAAATAAAAACAATTAGTATCTGAAACAAATACTAACTAACTAATTATAAGCACTTAGCATAAGGTATGGGGCAACAACGAGGTCATCCAATCAAATAAAAGGGCCTTAAATGTGATTCGTAAATTGTAGTTTGGGTTTTGCACGTCACCGTCTCTTACAAAATTTACTTTAATTAATTTTATATTTATTAAAATGTTTGAAATTTCGTGGCACACATATACAGAGGGGACAATCTGAATTCTCAAGTAGAGTATTATCTAGGGTTCTTCAATTCCAAGCTATCTCCACTCTTTTACCGATTCCAATTCAATTGCTTTTGCAAATCGAGGGTCTCAGCTATCTCCGCCAGATCTTGGCCGTCCGATTGATACCTTTTTCTCTGAATATGGTCAAAATTTGCAAGCCCTATATTGATTTCAATCAAAGTTTGAACCTTTGTTGCAATTTCAGCGACTCAGATCCGTTTCACAGATAATTTGCCTAATTTTGAGAGAAGGGTCGGTTTTTTTGTATGTTGATTTTGAAGAGAGTCGTCTCTTAGTTTGAAACTTTAGGTGGAAGTTTGTGGAATTTGCACTTTGTTTATCAGTGCGTTGTGTAAATTTTCTTTTGTAAGTGTGTTCTGCATCTTGTTTTTGATCAGTGGGTTGTATATAATTTCTTTTTTTGTCTTCCAAGTATTATGATGTATATAGAGGAAGAGAAGGGAGGAGAGCTGGAGGCTGGGAAGGAGGAGGTGGTGGTGGGTGGAGTGATAGAGAAGGCAGAGAAATTATCTGTTGATGGTAAGGTGTTGTGTTCTAGTGGTAGTAGTGGCAAGAATGCTATTGTTGTGTTGGATGTAAGGAGGGTCATGGTTGGAGTTGGGGCTCGGGCCTTGTTTTACCCAACACTTCTCTACAATGTTGTTAGGAACAAGATTCAGGTAGAGTTTCGCTGGTGGGACTGGATTGATGAGGTATAACAACCTTTTTCAGTATTGCTTTTGACATTTTTTTGTTGTCCTGGATATACTGTATACACTTGTAATGAATGCCTTGTTGTTATTGTTGTTTCCCCTTTAATGTATACACGTGTAGTGAATTCTGTTGTCTTTATATGGATCTATGTCAATGTGCAAATGACGTCAGTATGCTTCAATAGTTGTTTAGCTAAGTTGGAATGTTTTTGCTTATAATGTGCAATCCCTATTGCGTATCCAAATGTTAACGCATGTAATGTATTGATAAAGTTTGAACTAGTTATATTAGAAATTCATTCTAATTAATTGTCATTCGAGGCAGGATAGGTCTTTCTGAAAAGCTTTGGAAATGTCAGTTTCATTAAAGTTGATTACTTTGATTGCTGATGTTGAACTGTTATAACATCTTGCTGAACTTTTAAGTCATGAATAACGAATAATAGTACTATATGCATGGTTATTCAGAAAGATGGGTGGAACTGAATTTTGTAGAAATATCAATCTTAATTTCTATCTGGGCATGCTTTTCAATAATAAAAAAGGAATATAATAAGATCAATACAGTACTCTGTATCAAACGCATTAGCAAGATGATAAAACTTGTCTGTCCTGGAATGACAAGACAATGACATATGGGAACTAATACTTTTTCTGTGGTAATCTTCTTAAATAAATTTGCCTCTAATCACTAATCTGTGACAAGTGGCAAAGGATGTATAGTTATCCAGGAAGATGGACAAATAGTAAACTTGTTCAGGATATGGACAAATAGTAAACTTGTTCAGCTCTTCTTTTCTTTTCATTGCTATAAAGTTAGTTACTCTCACTAGTATCATCCCAGATTAACTCTTACATTTCCTGCAATTTTTTTTGAATGTCGTACAATCTTTCTCCACCAGTTACTTGCTTATAGGGATATTAAGGAATGTGCTCTTACATCTTTAACTTACATGATATAAGCTGAAATGCATTTCTTGTAATTCCATATGCATCTATCTTCACATTGGAGATTAAGTTTGCTTGTATGCATTGACCATCTTGGAAGATCGCATAGGTTGATTGATGTTCATTCTTTCAAATTCTTTTTTAGTGAATAGTTAGTTAGTAGTTTGTACTCCAATATTTTACGGTATAACAAGATTGTAGTACTGACTTAATATCCTGTTTAGTTTGTGTTATTAGGTGCTGTCCCTTTCCAATCTGATGTGAAAAGGCTAAAGGAGCTTGGTGTCTCCGGTGTCGTCACCCTAAATGAGCCATATGAGACTTTAGTTCCGACATCTTTATATGAGGTTAGTTCTTGAACTTCTGATATTTGTTTTATTCTTTCTGTTATGCTTCACTTAAAAGATAAGTCAGTTCAAGTATAACCTTCAGGACCCTTCTCCTTATTTCTTCTGTACCCCTTTGCTTGATCTTTCTGTTATGCTTCACTTAAAATATAACTTGGTCATTCCTCATCTAAATAGAAAGAAATGAAAAGTCAGGCTTCATTCAAGCCTCTCCTTCCTCTTATTTCTTTTGTATCCCTATGAAATTGGAATACACAAATTAAGTATGTTTGAGTAGCATTGCACTAGCTGAGGAGGCTGTACGTGCACCAAACATATTTTGATGAAACGGTCCAACTGTCCATAGTGACCCTTTTTCAGGACCTTATTTACTGTTTGTGCTCTGATCTTCTTCATGGTATTACCATTGGTATTAATTATATAAATATGGGATACAGTAGTTGTTTCCTTCCTACCTTACCCCAGTACAGAAGTCTGTCACTTCTTAATTCCCACGTTTTACTTTTCAGTAATAACTAATTGTCTAGGTCAAATACTTTTAAATTATGGATTTGTTATTTAAATTTCCTTCCCATTACACGATCAAGTTTTCTTTTTCTTCACATTATTGTTATCTATTACTTCTCGCAGGCTCATGGTATTCGTCATTTGGTTCTCCCAACAAGAGATTACTTATTTGCCCCATCTCTGAATAATATATGTCAAGCAGTAGAGTTCATCCATGGTGCGTAGCTTCCCAGCCCTTTGGCTCCCTTTTTTAATTAGTTTGTTGATTTTTACAGTATTGTCAACATTCTTGACCTTAATTCCTGGATGTTTTTGGTATTTTGTCACGACATCAGTCACTTACCATCTTGAGATTCATCTAATTTTTTCAACTCTGGAACTATGAGCGTTTCCATCATATCAAAAATGACAGTCTGAGGGTTGAAGTGTCCAATTCTTGGGTTGACAGGGATTCTTCGATAATCAAATTTTATGTTTGAGACTTATGATAAAAAGTACCTTAAACTACATGTTAAATATTTTACAAATTCAAATGTCATTGTTAAGTAAAAGTCAACAATACCGGTCCAATCAAATATTTATTTGACTCACTAAATTGTGATTATGACTTAAAATGGGATTGGGGGAGTACATGTGTTAAGTTGCTGGTCTTCTATTTAGATATAGTACTTTTTGAGGTGTCTGTCCCTTTGTTTGGTGGCTTGTTTTCTGTTTTGTTGCTTTCTATGGAAACAAATATGGGTGAGTACAAAACTCCATTAAATTAGCCCTGGTTTAGTAAATTTCTATGCTTTTCCTCTTGTATTCTCTCCTCTTCCTTCCTACCTAATCAAGATTGAACCTCGACACCTTCCCCCCCCCCCTCCCCAGAGGAGAGTTTACTAGTAGGTTAAGCCTTTAAATAAAATTTTCTTGTTTGTCTTTGAAGAAAATGCTTCCAATGGACAAAGTACATACGTGCACTGCAAGGCTGGTCGAGGACGTAGCACGACCATTGTCTTATGCTACTTGGTGGGTAAACTAAGACTTGTTTGAATGGATTGTTTAAAGATCACTTTACCCATTTTCTTTCTGAAGTTTCTTTCGTTTTGTAGGTTAAGTACAAGCAGATGACACCAAATGATGCATATAACTATGTGAAGTCAATTCGTCCAAGGGTGCTTTTGGCCTCTACCCAGCGACAGGTGTCTCAAGATTTACCTCATATTTTGATCCTTTTTCTCTAAGATGCATGATTTTTCTCCTTTAATGAGATTGATGGTAGATAATCCAGTTGACTTGGTTTTTATTTTTCTGGCTATTGTTGCTGATTCTGTTTTCCCACTGATTATCAGGCTGTCCAGGATTTTTACCATCTCATGGTGAAAAAGTCATACAGTTCTACCCCTTTGACTAGTATGATCCCACGGAGCTCAATCTTCTCCAGACGGAATTTGCTAGCCTTCGATGATGGTGCTGTAGTTGTGATAACCGAAACAGATCTAGATGGATATAGTTCAAGCCTTGACTCTAGGGTGGCTGGATCTGAGCTTTGGGCAGATTTGAATTTGATTTACAGGGTTCGAGTTGCTGGTGGGGCAGCCTTAGCAAGACTCTCCTGTATGTGGTTACGTTGCCACACTGACCAGAAGATTCCAAATCAGAAGGTGACTGCAGAGAGCAAGCAGCTGGAAAGTTTTACTGTAGATATACATGTGTTTTCTTAAGTTAATAAGTTGTACATATTTCTTCTGTATATATAAAATATTAAGATGCTACAAGCTAAGGTGTCTACTATTTCAGCTTACTCTTCCATAAAACCTCGACGTTCTCTATGTAAATACGATATACTTCTCAAGTTGCAAATGAGAAGTTTGAGTATATGTATATATATATAGCTCTTTATGCGAAGTTTCTTAACAATCTGTCTGTTAATTCACTCAGCTAGAACCTATTTTTTCTGTTTTATTTCCAGCAAACACCAAGTAACCATTTGCATTGAATCTTGATATATATAGTTGGTGCTTTAACATCACTCTTTTTTTCAGGATAGGATTTATCATATTTGATCGAGACAGACTTAAATAGAGCGACATGGACAATGAAGTTTTATATGATTAATTTAACTCGTTTGGCAGTGAGGCATAGTTATCCCATAATGTGAAATGACTCAATAATAAATTATTGCTTCAAGAGACCCAAAATTACCCAAATTAAGAGTACTTAAAGATACTTTAATAGTAGTAGTTTTTTTTATTCTCCATGGACCACTACAAGATTTTTCTTTAAAAAAATCAATGTCCCACTTGAGCATCAGCTTTATTCTTTTGTGCTCCATCAATCAAATATGGGACAACATTTTGTTGCATTTCTTGAATATCCATTCCTAAGTGATATCCTGGTAACTTTATGAACTTCACTTTTCCAGCTTTATCCAATGTTTGTAATCCAAACGTATCCTCTAGATAAAGATTAGTCTGCCAAAAAAAAAATCATCTCCTTTTTTAAAAAAATTTATATACAACAACCGTAGGATGGTGTGTGCGCAGACTTACACCCCCTACGAGTATAGAGGTTGTTTCGGATAAACCCTCGGCTCAAATTTAAAATTTAAACAGGGAAATAGTGTTACCTGTTGTGGTGGCAAAATTTGAGAGTCGGTTCCATCTTGATAAAAGCCAAACCAAGAACTTTCTTTTGGAGTTATAACATTATCATTTTCAAACTGTAAAGATATTAAAAATAAAATGGGATTAATTATTTAGTAAGTAAATTGTTAAATTTATTTTATTTTATTTTTAAAAAAAGAGTGAAATGTACCATGATAAGAACAAGGTTCTGCAAGCTAGTGAAACGTTCCTTATAAATTGGATTAGTTGCATTAGGAATTTCATTATTAAGCTTTGGCAAATATCTACAACCTCTTAAATATCCAGCAATATCCTGAGAGAAAAAGAAAATATTTTTTAAAAATATTAAATTTAAATAATAATAAAAAGGAAGAAAAACAAAGAAACAAGAATTACTCACATTTGGAAGCTTGATATAGCCACTAGGAGCATAGTGAGTCTAAGATTTGCATATTAATTAAAAAATTGATAGAGTTAGAAAAAAATCACTTGAAAAAACATTATAATAAAATAAAAATAAAAATAAATAAATAAAGAGTAACATTTGAAGATAGTATACTTGAACATAGTCAGAATATATTCCAATTCCAGAAATACCACCAGCTCCATCACACCAAGGGTTACCCTGTCAATTAATAACAAAAAATATTTTTGCTAGTTAGTATTTTTAAGTTATAGCAGTTATCATTCTTTGCAAAAGGAATTTGGTACCCGACTATGTATTTATATCGGAAAATCATATTTAAGATTCTAATTTGAGATCTCTGATTATGATTGATATTAATGTTGTAACAAAATTACATACAGTGCAAGCAGGAGCAGAAGCAATGCCAGCATTAGGTCCACCAATTGAGATAAAGTTATTGACCTGTGGCACAATTTTAGTTCCAAAAAATAATAATCACAAAATGGGAAAAAATGTTGAAATAAATAATGTAAATAATAAGATAATATATTTGTTAAAATTCTCACTGGAGGTGCTTCATCACAGAACTCTATAAGTCCTCTGGCTACCATATTTCCCTGAAAAAAAAAACATGAATATATAAATAAAATATAGATTGACACATCTTTTTTTTTTTAAAGCGAAGAAGTGATTGAAAGTCATGAAATCTCAGGTTTAAATTTCAGTGCAGACATAAACACTAGGTGATTCTTTCTATTTGTCCGAGCCTTGGTGGACAAAGTTACCTGACATCTCTGTTGATGCTAATGGGAAGTGTTGGCAATGGTGTAGCCAGTAATTTTACGAAGGGTGTCCAGAAATTGTACACGAGTACATTTTTTCTTTTGGATTAATGAGTGCACCAGAAATTTTAAAATTAAACTACGTAATATACATAAAATTTGTAAAAAAGTACATAATATACATGAAAAAATTTGATTAAGTGCACTAGAAATTTTAAATATACATGAAAAAATTTGAAAAAAGAGAGGCTTAAAGCTGTTGCAAAGGCTTGGCTCTTTCAAGGCACCTTAAACCACTAGGCTACAACACCTTGTTGTGTTAAGAGTGTTCATAATACGTTATTTACCACTTTGTGTATTATTTTACTTGTCTATACGATATAATTTTCTGACGAAGGGTGTCCAAAGACTATATAGCTATGCCCCTGAGTATTGGTATCTTGTAAAATTAGTCAAAATGCACGAAAGTTGGATCGAACACCAGAATCTATCATATCATAAGGGAGACACATTTATGATTATAGATGAGTTTACCTGTGAAAGACCAACTATATTGTAACCTTGTTGAAGTTCCTTCATTCCCTTCACCTGTAATTCAATTCACATTCAAATTTCTCCATATATTTCTCTTTTTCATTTATTTGTTTATTTATTACTCTCTCTGTCTAACAATAATTGTCCACTATTGACTTGACACAGTCTTAAGAAACAATAAATAATAGGGGTAATAGTCACAAAATATAAATTATCTCTTAATTTTCTAAATTAGACAAGTATTGTTGGACAACTATTTTTAGCATAGTGGACAATTATTATTAAACGGGGAGAGTATTATTTTATTAACTAAAAGAAGATAAAAGAATAATCTAGTGGAGGCTCAATACCTTTTCACAAGCAATTTGAACCTACAAGTACAGCATGGGCAAAAAAAGAAAGGCACAGATTACAATTCACAAGAATTTTAATATGCAATTAATAATCCAATCAAAATAATGAGAATCACTACTTTTTATCAATTGTTACCTGATTTTCTAGAGGCATATAGTAGGAACTATACACTCCATCTCCAATTTCTCTGCCAAAAAAGAAAAAAAATCCAAACATTCATAAATGATACTAGTAAAAACAATAGTAATATACGAAAATATATAAAGTAATTATCATATATGTCAAAAAAATTGTCATTACGAGAATTTAAGTTATGTATACTGACAATGACAATTATAATGAATTTGGAGGTGAACCGAAAATATGGATTTTACACTATTGTTTCATGCATGAGAAGAGGACCACTTTGGAATGAAAAAAATAAGTATTTGAAGTTAAAATTGAAAAAGAATAAAAATAATAATAATAACACATTCAATGTAATTGTCCCATCTCTACATCTATAAGGTAGAGATGTTATTTTTGATACACACTAAATTAAAAAAAAAAGTTTTCGAAATAGGATTACAAAATAAACATAACACCAAAATTAACAAAATACAAAACAACGAATATTAATACACTTTGAAAAATAAGAGACTATACGATTATAAAATAATATGCTACTAATAAGGGATTTTTTTTTGAAAAACGTACAAGCAGTAACCATTGGATTTTGACAAGAGACTGAGTTGTGACGTGTAAAATGTACTTCCTGCATCGTTGCAAGACTCTCCTAGTCCTGCCATCAACCAAAAAGAAAATCGTTTTTCAACGATAATAACATATTCAGTATTTTTCACAAAGTGTGATTTCAGAAGAATATAGTACACAAGCCTTATTTCTATCTCAAAGGTAGAAAAATTATTTCTGATAAACCCTCGATCCAAGGAAAAACAATCTAAAGAAGTAATATAAACATACGAAATAACATAATAACAAAACAACAGATAGTAACAAGATAGTAACTACAACAACAAAACAAAATGATAGTCGACGTAAGAAAAACAACATGTAGTTACAAAAATGACAATATATATACATATAAATAAATAAAAAATTTACCATGCAATACTATGAGAGGAATAGAAGAAGAAAAACATATGGAACAGAAGATTGAAATGATAAAGATGAAATTTTCTGAGCATAAATAAGCCATTTGAAATTTTATTTAAAGCTTTTAATGGAGAAAATGTGCTGCGAAAGTTTTTGGTTCTTAAAGCTGGATATATATAGTACTAGTTCTGAAGCAATCAGTGTATAAATAAAATATTTGAAATTTACTTTATTTGTTTTTATAATTATTTCAAATTTTTTTTGGAAGAGTTTGATTTGGCAATTTTTTATTTTTCATTAATCTACTTGATTTTTACCTTGTATATTGTAATCATGTCTAATTATTAAGGATAGTTTTTTTGTTATCACGTTTATATTTTTTTCCTTTTTTTGACAAATCAAGATAAAGAAAAAGAGGAAAAAAAATGGTTAATGTCATATATGTGCATTTTTTTTTTTACGGAGGTCCATCGAAAAAAATTTCTCTATCTTCATAAGATAGAAGTAAGATATGTACACATCACCTTCTTCAGACCCACTTATAAGATTATACTGAATATGTTGTTATCGTTAAAAACATATCCTTTTTCGATATTAGTATAATTATTAAACTAGGTTGTGTGATCTGTTGATGCATGTCAATATGGCATGAACATAGAAATAATTATATTTATTTTCATTCAAATACTGATGTTCGATTTGGGTCCGGCTCCCCTTCATTACCCCTTCCCTCCATTTCGTTAAGTGCACGTCTAGATTAGAGACATGTGTCATATTTAAAGTTTAAAGGTCAAGATTATATTATATTAACAAATATCATAACTATAGTTAAGTCAACTAATTTTAGAAAACTACTCTCCAAATTTAGTAAGTATTACAATATATTCCATACAAATTTGATATTTATTAATATCATTAATTTCATCTTATATTTTTCATTTACATTTAAATATTAAAATTGTAGAACATGAAACGTTTATATTTAATGTGATATATAATAATCTTCAAAAACATTTGCATTTAAAACAATGTTATCTTCTATTTCACAAAAAAAAAAAAAAAAAAAAGGATTAAAGAATATTTATTTTAAAAAAAACATACTATA